TCATAGTCACTGATCATAGTCACTGATCATAGTCACTCATCATAGTCACTGATCATAGTCGCTGATCATAGTCACTGATCATAGTCACTGATCATAGTCACTGATCATGGGCACTGATCATAGTCACTGATCATAGTCACTGATCATAGTCACTGATCATAGTCACTGATCATAGTCACTGATCATAGTCGCTGATCATAGTCACTCATCATAGTCACTGATCATAGTCGCTGATCATAGTCACTGATCATAGTCACTAGTCAAAGTCACTACTCATAGTCACTAATCATAGCCACTAATCATAGTCACTCATTATAGTCACCATATATAAGACCTATTTTTCAGGCCTAAATTTCAGGAAACATCCCCAGAAAATATAGGCTTATATAGTACAGTACCTTCATTTTAGGATCCTGAAATTACCATTGTTAATTGTTATAATGTCCTCGCAATCCATAAACATATCTCAACCAATGGTGAGCTGTTGGTTTGGGGGGTGCTTTGCATTTCACCTAGTCACAATGTCACAGTATAAGTTTCTGGGCAATAGATACCCATAGTGACAAATAGATTTAGTTTTTTTTTCCCCATTCACTTAGAGACTTAGGGTATAAAATTGCCCAGAGCGTAATGATAGCATAGTCACTGATCATAGTCACTAATCCTAACCATCCCAACAAGGTCTTCGCACGGGCCGAAATGTTTTGGACGCACAAGCATCCACCATTGGAGGCGCATCGCCTGTTGCGATGGCAGAAATTTTTGATCTGGGGAGTGGCTATTGAGTCGTAGAAACATGGGAATTTGAGCTATAGAAGAGGAATTTAACACACACAAACAGACATGAAATGGGGTCAGAGTTGCAGGTTCCTGAAATCATAGATAGAATTGCATCTGACGAATAATAAACCCTCCTCACAAGCCTGACTGCGGAGACAAAGTGAACAAAATCATTACAAAATCTAGGTGCCGGGGGGTGTTTACAGAATAGGATGAAGACATGTTTTTTTTTTGTACCCTGATAAATCATGACCTGACCTTCTAACCAAAGACCGAGTTTGTGGTGAGTAACCCCACAGTTACTGTAACCATTGTGGTGGTGACGTATCGGGCGGAGAGGCGCCCAATGAATACTACTCGTACGTATCGGTGGGGGCCCCCATTTTGGGATATCTAAATTGATGAATTCTATGTGGATTCAATGGTTTATGCATGTTTATGGGTTCAAGGAACTAGTATTCATGGGGTTTATAAACCAACTTAAAAACTGGGAGGACCACCTTGTAGGGATTTCAGCTAAAATGGCGACCATTGAGGAGATAGTAATGTGAATCTGACAGTTTTTTTGGGGTGCCCATGGGTGCCCCCAAGTGAGCAGCGGCCAGCTTGAAAGCAATGATGGATGAAATAGCACAAAACAGCGTGAAATAGCACGAAATAGCGTGAAATAGCATGAAAACTGCATGAAAACTGCATGAAAACTGCCTGAAATAGCATAAACGTCTGCCAATTTCAGGATATCTTAGGACCACTTGGCATGGCCCATGTCTTCTGGTCGTTCCACCAGCGTCTGCAGGCACTGGACCCGCGCTTTTTACACATTCCAAAGGGCCAGGCCTGTGGGAAGTCTCGTGCATGTCCAGTGGTCCAGCCCCTGTAAAAAAAATCAGGACACTTAAGACTATATATACATACATATAATGGAAATTTGTCGAAATTGGGATTCCTGGATGGCAAATAACATTCAAAGAACTTGAAAATGAGGCGTCAATCTGTGTGTCACTGAATTTTCACCTAGCTTTTGGATATCTGGAAGGTTAGCGCTGGGTCTAAACCAGTCCATCCCCAACATCTGAGGCCAAAATGCTGGCTTGAACATCCACGGCATGATTTCTATCATAATTTCGATGGGTATCCCCCCAATTAAACAACCGTTTGGGGTTTATTAATCCGGGGTTGACATTATCATAATTTCGATGTCATATTTTTTTAGTTATTTCCCATGGTCAACTCGATAATTTCAACATGTTCAACTCGACTTTCGCAGGACAACAACTTCTACAACCACAACCCCTTGTACGGCATCAATGACCGGCACGCTGTGGTGCCAAAGCGCTGGTTCAAGGCTTACTTCAACCGCTATGAGGTGCCGGAGATGAAGTCTTAGAATATGGTGCTGTTGATGGTTAAATCTCAACACATTTTAAGTATATATGGTTGATATTTTAGATGTTTTACTGTTCTGTAATATAGTTGTATAGTGTTGTGTTATCTAGTAGCTATAAATAGCTATAAATAGAGTATATTTACGAATGGCTATGATGACTGGGTTGTAGTTGTGGTGGTAGCTATGGTGGTCGGAGGTTTTTCCAGCCAGCTTCGGCTCACAGGGATGTTCGGCTTGTAAACCGAGTAAACCAACATCTAGCAGTGGAAAGCCTAAACCATTGACTATAGTCTATAGTTATACTTACCATAAACCATAGTTATTGGCCTTATAATCTGTATAATATACCCAATAGACTATAGATATGTGGAACATCGACAACGACGCTGCGACGCTGGCTTTTCCATGTCGACATGGAGCAGAGGCTAATCAGATCACAGGTGACAACCACACCTTGGTGCACACTGCAGTGCCATGAGTCCGTGCAATGTGGGGATTTTTTGGGCCAAAGTTGATGAAATCCTCGAGAAATCCATGGTTTTTTGAAGTGTTTGATTCTTTATTTGGGGCTTCCTATGCGCAAGCAGCTTTGAAAAATGCTAAAGCGAGATCTGCAAAAGTCACTAAACACTGGTCTTCCTTGCAGCCACAGGCTTCGAGCCTTCAAGTTCTATGGGTAAGTTGGGTTATAACTACTTGGTGGCTCATCCCACTTACTATATAAGTAGGTCATAAACCTAGTTATAGGTGCGTTAATCCTACTTATCTCACTAACAAAGCCTGGGATATAAGCTACTTACTAAGTGGGATGAACCACAAAGTAGCTAGGCCAGGGATTGGATTTGCGGATATATCAAGATCTAGACTGAGATGGGATTATAAACCAGCTTCGAACTCGGGGGGCCCTTCTGGTGGGGGTATGGAATCTGCAGGTAAATCCTTTTCTGTTAGTTGGTATTCTCATAGAAGTGGGCTGTAAAATCTGTCTGTTTCTGGACTCCAGAGTCTCTAACATCAATCCAGAGCCAGAAGAACTGATCCACATCAATGACTAATATGCTCTATTGTTGGATTCAAATCCTTCAATTAAACCATATTAAACCTATTCATGGATATTCCGAATATATCATCCCCCAACTAGCATAGAATCACCTATCAAGAATTACCTGTAAATCCCAACTGTTCCTTAGTAAATTTCCACATTTCCCTCATTTTTCATGGTAAAGTGCAACATTTCCCCATCAATCATTGCATCAATCAGAAATCTTGGACGGAACTGACGCTGTCAGTCCATCTTGGACGGAAGTGCATGGAGTTACCTCCGGGAGATTGCCAGGGTCGGCCGGCTGGTGGGAAAGGCTGAAATGAGTTGTGTCTGAAAATGTCATACCCTCTCGACATTTTCCATTTAGTGCACTGATTTACCTACAACACATGGTGATTTTCGCCATGTTCAATTACAGAAGGGTGTACGGTGTACAGAATACAAAACGGAGATGTCACCATCAATGGAAAGGGATTTTGAGGCTTGTATGGAAATAGCCTCTGGTAATTTGTCACATAGCTATTGAAAATGGCCAGTTAAATAGTGAGTTTTCCCATCAAACATGGTGGATCTTTCCATAGCTATGTTAGTTTACGGCCATTAAAATAGTTGATTTTCCCATTAGAAATGGTGATTTTCTATAGTTATGTAAACGTTAACCAGAGGGTAGATTGTATACCCCAAAGAGATGGCCATGACATGACCGGAATAAAAACAAACGATCAACCAGATGATGGACAGTGGAGGTTTCCCCGTCGTCATGGGGGTACCCCCAGCTCGCTGGATGGTTTATTTCATGGAAAATCCCAACAAAAAATTGGATGATGACTGGGGGTACCCTATGACTTAGGAAACCACCACATAAGTTTTTCAGAAGTCAGAGACCAATTGGCAGAGCATCGATCCAATTTTCAGACCCTCCGGTGTCATCAAATATATGGCCAGCTGGAAAATCAACTATTTTTCAGGTGCTTTAATGGGAACATTATCCATAAATGTGGGTAATTTTCATCATGGTTGATTTTTCCAGACATAAACTCCGATAAAACTGCTTTTTGGGTCGGTCGTTCGGGCATTTCCCAGCCATGTTTAGCCATGTTCGGTGGGAGCCAGGAGTCCGCAACAACTAAAACCGGCAGACTTTGGAAGACAATGGGTAAGTTTGTCATGTGGGTAAAACAATGCCGTTGGTGATGACTGGGGGATGGTTAAAAAAAATGTGTTGCTAACATTAGTAAGAAAATCAAGAGTGCAGCCAGTGACAGCTCCATTCACCGTCATCAAACATGGCATCCAGGGGAGATTCTGTGTGTGGCCTAGTGGATACGAATCGACTTTCTATGGTGGATAGATTTTCTGCATTTTTCTGGGGAACAGAATTCTCCACCATAGCCGCATAGCCATGGTTTCAGATTGTTCAGTTCCAAGCAACGGCCCCGCATATGCCACAGCGGCCAGAACCAGTGGATGATCAACACAGAACAGTACTTGCTGCTTCACTTGCAAGCACATCAGGCCGGGGGAACACGTTGGTGAATTCTTCGTTGGGTTTATGGGGTATATTAAACTGCAAGGTTAATGGGTTTTATAAATCAACATCACGTTTGCAGGCCCCATCTTGTACATGTATCGGAGATGTACAAATGTACTGTATATATAATCTTAGGACATCATTGATCCTATGTGTATATATATATACTGTATATGTATATATATATACTGTATATGTATATATATATATACTGTATATATATATATACATATATATATACTGTATATATATATGGTGCAGCGTTGGCCACCCCCCCTCCCCCCCCCCCACCAATGGGTATGGGTGGACAGTATCGTCTGGTTCTTCTGGCCCCCCCCTGTGGCCTGTGGTGGTGGTATGGTTATCTGGTCCCCCCCCCCCCTGTGGCCTGTGGTGGTGGTATGGTTCTTCTGGTCCCCCCCCCTGTGGCCTGTGGTGGTGGTATGTTGGGTATGTTGTATGTTGGTTACAATTGTATGAGGTAATGGTAAATGTAGTGGTAGTAACTAGGTAAGTGTTATTAATGGTATGTATGTATGTACTGTATGTAGGTAATACGTAGGTATGTATGTATGTATGTATGTATGTATGTATGGAATGTAAGGTAAGGTAAGGTAAGGTAAGGTAAGGTAATGTAATGGTATGTATGTATGTACGTAGGTATGTAGGTAGGTATGTATGTATGTATGTATGTATATACACCACCACAGGGGCATCATACCCCCCCCCATCCCATGGGGGGGGGGGTGGGAACACGGGACACGGGACCATATATATATACATATATACTGTATATATATATATATACACATATATACTGTATATATATATATGTAGACGTAAATTTGTGCAAAATTACATTGCATCAGTGTATAATCTATTTATGTATATCATTTATCATATGTAGCTTGTTTTCCATCATTTCAATATCGCCACTCCCCTGGTGCCAGGTGCCAATTCTGCGCTTTCCACCCATCTCCTTTCTCTCGCACTGTGCCTCGCTGTGACTTCCAACGTGCGGCGGGACTGGATCTCTAACAGTGTCTAAAAAAGGCTGGATATTGGTGGTGGCTGTACTAGGTGGCTCATCCCTCTTACTAAGTAGGTTATAACCCTAGTTATAAGTGGATTAACCCTACTTATCTCACTAACAAAACCAGGGATGAGCCACAAAGTATTAGTTTTTTTTCAACATTTGGAGAATAATAATAACTATAAAGATCTATACCCTCTAATTATTTAGCGTAGCTATGGAGAATCACCATGGGGGTAAATCATTATAAATCATCTATAAATGTGCCATTTTCAATAGCTATGTTAAATTGCCACGCGCTTTTATTTCTATTGCCAAAAAAAGATCATAAAATAAACTATATCAAGAACGATCACCTGCTGATCAGAAGCATTTGTGAAACCAACCAGCCATCACTGGCCATCACTGGAAATCACTGGCCATCACTGGCCATCACTGGCCATCACTCAAAACAAGGGCGAATCTTAGCCGTTTCCACTGGTTTCCAAGGGGGGTGTTGGTGGAATCCCCACGAATTCTTCGGACGGGACTCCACGGTGAGAAGAGCGTTTTTGAAACGCCGCGCCGGGAGTTTCAAGCTGGTTACGATGCTATTGGAGATGTTTTAGCAATTTAGTTTGATGAAAATCATCGCTCCACGATTCCATGATGCTGTGGCTTTGTTTTGGCACCCCAGTTGAAATGCTATGGTGAACAGTTGTAAAGATTGGATTAGATTAGATTTGATTAGATTCTAATGTCGGTAAAGCAATCATAAACCATCCCCCAAATCACCGTTTTTATAGGTGCTACGTTTACCATTCCCAGTCATGGGTGGTTTATTGTTTTACCATGTTTTACCCACCATTATAGGATATAAGATCGAGTTTTGTATCCCAACGTCGGCAGTTGCTGCAGCCATTCTGTGGCTCAGCCGGTACTGCAGGGCTCTGCGCTTCAGTCGCCATGAAGATTTATTTGAGACCCCCTGAGTCCAAGAGTCGGAAAGATGATGTGGAGGTGGACCTGAATCCGGATGAACTGAGTCTCGGTGAGTTGTGACAATTTGAGTGAAAAAAGGATCGAGAAAAAAGGCTGATTCTTCTGATGGTTCTGTCCAACTAGGGATATTTATAAGCGGTAAGTGGATATGTTTCTTGGGCTGAAAAATGTGGTAAATTTTCTGAAATGGAAATCCACGGAATGTATCATTATATATATATCTTATTCCTTTTGGCCTCAGACGGAAAAAGATCAGGATCGAGGGGCTGCGGCAGAAGATCCAAGAGAAGACGGGCTTGGACTGTGACTTGGCAGCCGCCTGATGATTGTAAGTCTACGATATACCCTACAGGGTAAACATACAAAAGGATGTGGAAAGGTAACCATTAAGTTAAGTAGACTCTTTTATGGGGAAACCATGGGTCTTCCACATCTATGTTAGTTTACCCTAGGAAAAGTGGGGTGATTCTATTTACCCTTTCCGGTAGTCATTTATGTGGCGTGCTGGAAACCCCACAACCCGGGGGATTTCCCATTGCGAGCCGTTCGACGTTTAGGACACCGGTCGTGTTTTTAAGAGGGTACCCTTTGGTAATTTAACATAGCTATTGAACATGACCATTTATAGTGGATTTTCCCATTAAAAATGGTGATGTTCCATAGTTATGTTAGTTTACCAGAGGGTAACAATAATCGAATCGTTATCATCCAGTTAGTACCAACCGGGTTGATCCTCCGAAGAAGAAATCCCTTCCCCCTGATGATAAAAAACCCCAGAAAACCCATGCCAATATTAGAGCCATGGAATTGCCTTGGAATTTACGTCAACTTCCGGGGAATGGGATTGTCTGGTTTTAAAAGAAGGTACCTCTGGGACCTCACGAATCCTGCAGGTTACAAGTTGAAGTTCAATGGCAAGACGCTGAAGGATGATGAGACGCTGAGACAACACAAGGTGCAGATCCCAACACGACAAAACGTAGGTTGAAAGGCTGTAGCCTTGACACCACCAGCTTGGATATGGATTTTTCAAAAAAAGTACTGTGCAGATTAGAGAGACTAGAAAGTTCTACGAAATTCCATTGGTGTCACTTTTTGAAAGAAGATCAAATGAGTGGGGAGCACTACAAGCCACACATCAAGCTGCAGCAATAGAATCAACCAGTGAAATGCATCCCCATTTTTGGTCAACTTCCCACCGGTTGATCAGAGGGGGTCTCACAACATCAGATGAGAAACATTGAGAAACGAGATACCCTCTGGTTATTTAACATAGCCATGGAAAATCCCTTATAAATGGAGGTTTCTAGCTGGGAAAATAATCTATAAATGGGCCATTTTCCATGGTATATATTGATATATACCGTAATAACAACTGCCTCTACTGTTGTCCAACGGCGAAAAAAGGGACTATGGATTCTTGCTTCTTCCATGTTCTTCCCCAAGCTCTTCGGAGCTGAAAAAAAATCACCGCCCAGGGCGAATCAATCCCAACCCATAAAGGGGTGTCAATTTCCACATTCTCCCAGGTCGAGTCCCTGTTTTGTGAATGAAATCATTTCTTGTCAGGTCAATTCCCCATTTTTGGTGCACATCACATCAATCAGGGTTGCTCCAACCCCTTAGAAGTATAAATGATCTCCACTGTTTGGCGGAACATGGATGAAAATATGGATCATTTGACCTCTTTAACTTGCCATGGTTTTTCTCCCCTTGGCGTATCTGGGGTGTCTGGGGTGTTGAACCCAGATCACCAGGTAGAAGAGAATGGCACCATCATGACCGAGCCCGAGTTTCATGGCCAGTACCTCCCCATGGGCGTCCAGCCGTCCATGGAGAAGAAACGAAAAGCGGAGGAGGACATCGTGGAACTGGCACCTGAAGCCTCCTGGATTTGAGTCCAATCCGACCGGGCTATGGAGGGGAGATACGGGGCCACACGGTCATTGCTCCAATGATGGCATTTTTAAGGAAACCAATCACTACATCATCCTGTCACTAGCCTCTGGTAGTGACTAACATAGCTGCTAAGAAAATTGCCAATTTGTATGTTGATTGACCTATTAAAATCTATTAAAGATGGTGATTTTCCAGTTCGCAAACTGTTCGTTTTCCATAGCTGACTGTGCCCAATTGATCTCACTGCGGGATGGTGTTTTGACAAAAAAATCTCCCGCGACTTCCTGCCAAATGCTCCAATTTCTTCACTAAATTTGCCGTTCAATGCCAGGTTGTTATTTCATGTTATTTCTATGACCTCATTAGTGATGGCGTTTAGCTCTTAGGTATCATATTTTCATATATATTCATATTTCATAGTATATATCCATGACTGTGATAATTTCACATAGCCATATGGAACACCAGCCATTTGTAGATGATTTACCCATTGGACATCGCCATTTTCCGGCGATGTTTTCTGACCCACCAGAGGCTGAAAATCCACCGACCTCCAAAGCTCTTGAGAAATCGATGATTTTCCCAGTTCAGGATTTCCTGTACCAAATTACCAGATGATTGGTATGCTACAGAGCGTGGGGCCCCCGTTCGCTCGAACGCGAAAAAGTTGGGCTTCACATAACTCCAATGTCACTATGGTTTATAATACGCAAATAAGATCTTATAAGATCTTATAACTATAGTTAATGGGGTTTATACACCAACTTTAACTGGGGTTTCCCACATTGTAATTATCTACCGAACTAAACCCAGTGCAGCAAGTTTCACGGCTTCATCTAATTGGTATGCTCAAGTACCAGATTACCAGAGGGTATATTAGGTATAGTAGTGTAGTTATGAGTTCGTTCATTATCCATCTTGACTACTTAATAAAAAAAACACGTCGCCATTTCTAGATTCATTCTATACCCAAAAACACATTGCTATAGAATGACTTTTTTTGTATAGATCCATTTATTTAAGTGATATAGAAAACACATCATTTTTGTGTCATTCATCATATGATTTTCCGTTTTTTCTTTCTTGGGACCCTTCTTTTCATGTGACCATCTCCCCATGGGTCGACGACGGGTATCGGCCCAAGGTGAAGAAAGCCGCTGCGGCCGCGGCGGCGGAGAACATCACCATGGCGGAGGTCACCTGGTGCGGCCTCCGCGCCGGCGCCTACGGAGAGAAGGGCATGCGGCGACAGATGGAGGATGAGACGGTGACTGAACCGGAGAATCAGACATACGGAATGATCTTAAATACCATATATATATATGAAATCATATCTAGAAATACTGGGGATATTTGGAATGATGATCTTAAATAGCATATCCATCCAATCTAGTGGGATATCCCATCTATAAATGGATTGAAACTAAAAGTCATAGATTTGCTGATGACTACAAGAGGTAAATCATCTAATCTATGGCAATGGAAAACCCCGGAGGTTTAGTTCAGTTCGCTGCGAAAATCCTCGAACTTTTGTGGGGGATATAACTAACTATAGTCTTGGATTTGCGGTTTTTGTGGATGTTTTTTGGCATTTTCCCAGCTGGGAAATCCGCTGGAAAGGGTCCTGAAGCAAATCTAAGTGTCACAAGAGACGGTGCCATGTTTTTCTTGTTGGGAGTTGTACGGATTCACATGAGCCCACATAAAAATAGCATTCTTGATTGGTTAGTATTACCCTCCGGTAATTTAACATAACTATGGAAAATCACCACTTATAGTGATTTTTCCCATGAAAAATTGTGATTTTCCATAGTTATGTTAGTTTACCAGAGGGTACTGGGATTTACTAACTACCGGATCTACCTGGCTTGGGGATTGTCATGATCACTCATAATCTATGAAGTGGGATTTCCTATCAAACCGCCAGTAAAATGGGATGGGATACCCTCTGGTAAACTAACATAGCTATTGAAAATCACCATTTATAGTGAATTTTCCCATTAAACATGGTGATTTTGCATAGTTATGTTAAATTACCAGAGGGTAGTATTTGGTGGATTTACCAGGATTTACCTACTGTTGACTGTTAATCTAACATAGACATGGGAGAACAACCTGTTTGTAGAGTATTTACCGCTTAAACATTGCCATTTTCCATGGCTACGTTAGATTATCAGAGGGTATATTTCACCAAAATAAAAACAACAACCATAAACGGGGTATTTATAGTATTTTTAGGAGAATTTGCTGTTGTTGTGGATAAAAACTTGGATGAGACGCTCTTTGGGGATGATGGTTTCGGGTTGGGTCATCGTTGGGTCCAACCTTTTTTGAGCGATTCTTTGGAGGGAACATCTGGATATTTATGGCATTCAGATTTATAATGATTTTATATAGATTTTTACAGGATGGGGCCCCCGTAAACGATAGCGTTCAGTTGAGATATGGCTGTGGCTGAATGAACTATGGTTTATGGTAAAGATGTAACTATAGTATTCATGGGGTTTATAAACCAACATTCACATCACTGGGGGGCACCATCCTGTAGGGATTTATAGGGATTTATAAGGATTTATTTGCATCTATATAGATTCATATGTACTGTAACCGCAAAGCATCAAGAAAAAGGATGTAGATGGCATCAAAAATGGGAATCCGAATATCAACCATCATGGATCTGGATCGTAGATGGTTGGTGCAGGAGATTTCAAGATTTCTGCTTTGGGCTGGGATTTTTATGGATTTATATTAGGCCATATTATATATATATTTCAGAGAAAACAAATGAGACAAATGAGAGTGAGGCAAGATATATACAGGAAGAAGATTCTATGATGGATAATCATGGATAATCAATATATATATATACAGTACATCATATATATATGATTCTATATGGTGTATATCATATATATATATATTATTAATGCTTTGGGCTTTTCGTTGGCGCTGTTAATTTTTCGTCGGGTATTTCTGAAAGGTTTCGGAGGGATCCGGTCCAAGTCTTGGTTCCGGTGATGTTTTTTTTTCACCATTGGAACATATCATGGCATGGATATCATGGATATCATTCCCATATGCGAACCATGGTGCTGGTATATGCAAACCTACATAACTGGGTGATTTTGTTCGGGCAAATGTTGGTAAATATTCCAGCACCATGGTTCGCATATGGGATTGTATTTTGTAGACCATTCAACACGGATGATCGTCATAAATTCCACTCGGAAAAAACTTTTTGGGAACACCTTGATATATGCAAAAGGGATCGTCCTTGATAGGTTTGGATGGGGATATAGCCAAAGAGAATGGGGACAAACTATTTAGGATCTTACCACCAACGGCCCATTGGTCCAAACAGCAACACTGCTGGTGAAAACATGGATCATTTCATATCATTTCACCATTCAACCTGGCAACGATTTAAAAACATGGGCTTTAAGATTGATTGGTAAAAACCATATTAAAAACCAAATCAACCAATGACAATCCACATGAGTGGCGTACTAGCGGCATTTGGGATATTTAAGTTACCTAATTTGGGATGATCACAGAGGCCTCCCTCAATCGATCCGCCCGGATTATTTATGGGTTGCCAAGTGACCCCTGGGAAAGGATTGCCGTTCAACTCTGGTAAACATAGAGATTGCGACATAGAAAATGGCCATAGAATCATAGAAAGTTCGTGGATTTACCCAGCTATAAATTTTCTGATTTTACATAGTTACTAAAGGTTTACCAGAGGGTAAACTCTAAAAAATAGGTTGTGCTCCAGAACTTCAGACGGCTTCAGGTGATTTGTCCATCGCTCAGAGACATGGTACCATCACTTCCAGAGGAGCGGGACTTTGCGCTCTTCGGCCTCTTCGACGGGCACGGTGGAAAGCAGGTGGCCTGGGTTTGTCGAAACCGAAATGCTATGGTTTTTCAAGTATCATTTTTCCAATAAAATAAATGCAACATGTTTGGAGTAAATTCCGCGTATTTTTGTACAAACCCATATGGTTCGACATAATAGTGATGTTCCGAAATTGGCCTATGGGACAAGTTTCAGGAAACCTTTAGAATTGGCAACTGCGTTACTGTAAACACAATATGAATAATTTTCTGTCGATTTTTCCACCAATCCATCCATGATGGTTACATCCTCATTGTTGGTTTTATCCCCTGTGAGCGAGGCCCCTAAAACTCCAATGGTTTGACATGAATCATGTCCCAAAATTCTCAAAATTTGTTGCCAAACCTTCCAGATTTGGCTTTTTCATATGGTCAACCCCCGATGAACACCCTATAGCCTCCGGTAATCAGACATGGCCAGCTGGAGAAACCGGTATATATAAAATGAAGGTTTTGAGATGGGAACAAAAACATCCAATGGCAGATCGCCATGTTCGACATCAGAGAGTCGGAAGTAAAGATTTGACATCCCATAAAACTGGCATGAATTGGCTTTATATATAAACCCCACAAAGAATACAAAAAACATATACCTGAAAAAAAACTCAGTAACAAATCCCATTTTTCTCCATAAAGCCATCATAAAAAACCAATAAACACTTCCCTAAAGCCCATGCAGGATGGGGCCCCAAAGATAGCGTTCAGTTGACAAACAGCTGTGGCTGAATTCTTTGGTTTATGGTAGATGTAACGAACTAGTATTTCATAGGGTTTATAAACCAACATTCACATCACCTTTGGTGGCACCATCCTGTAACGCCTGGTCACGTTTTGTCGTACGTCGGTAGGTGGCGGAGTTCGTCAAGACCTTCCTCGCCCCAGAATTGGCCTCGGCCTATGCCAATGATGAGCCCAAGGAGGGTCCCATGACCGACAAGCGGATCATGAAGGCCGGGACTCAAAATGACGTTTTTTTTTTGTGTGACTTTGGGTGGATAAAATTGGATGATGTTTTTTTTTCCTGCTTAGATTGGCTTAGATTGGCTTAGATCTTGTAGTTACATAGTTAGATCATGTTAACTGTTAGATAGATAGATGAGAATAGATGTAGATATTGCATATAGTTATAGAGTCATTATAGTTGAGGTTCTAGTTACAGTTGTTGTCATGGTATACGTAGTCAGTCACAGTAGTAGTTGCAGATGTGTATACATGCCGGCTAAGCACTATATATTGCTGAAAAAGGGAATGGGTCAAAATCATCAAATGCCTGAAATGGATAGGCCCTCCTAGTTGTAAGTTGGTTTATCAATCCAAGTCTAAGTAACTGTGGTTATATCATTGTTATATCTACCATACACTATACTTAGCCTAGTTTGTAAGTCCACTTAGCACTTCTTAGCTATCGTTTGGGCCCCACCACCTTTCTAAATGGACTGTTTACTACAAGCAATTGCCACATTTCTGTGCCTATTGGCACGCTAGGCTTGACTCATAGCCAGGTGATTTGAATTCACAGAGGTTCATCCACAAGAGGTTCTCCATGTTTTTTTCACTTCTTTTACTTGGGGTTTCCCCAAGTAAATATATAAACAATATACGTATATGATATATTTACTGTATATTCACCATATATTCACCATATATTTACCATATATTTACCATATATTTACCATAGATTTACCATAGATTTACTATATATTCACCATTTATATTAATTTTCTTGGGTTTTTCTCAGGACTTGCCGGAATTCCCATTGGGAGTTTGGCCACATTTTCGCGTTAGGTCACCGAAGCGGTCTTTCAGCGGATGGATTCCAGGATTGCCAGTGAGTTGGCTGGAGCCTATGATGCTTGGTGGAGATTACCTATGAAAAATGGTGATTTAACATGATTTAGTCACGTCCACTTAAGGGGATAACTAGGGTTAACTTATTTAAAACTTATAAGTTTTATTAATAGTAGTTTTACTTATGATTAACGCTACTTATCCACCTAATAAGTTTTATTTACTTGAATACGGGGATAAGTACAGTAGGTTTAATCCACTTATAACTACAAGATGGTGCCCCCAAGGATTTTTTTCTACCCAGATAAAAATGGTGGATTTACATCTGAAAAATGGGGGAACATCATGTCAATTTTTTGGGCCAGAGTTGCTCGCTAGTTGCTATAAACACTTACTCAGGATGGGCCCCTCTTCAGATAGCGTTCAGTTGAGATATGGCTGTGGCTGAATTCTATAGTTTATGGTAGATATAAGTGATATAAGTATAGTTAATGCTGGTTATAAACCAACTTAGAACTGGGGGGCACCATCCTGTATGAACAATGGTGGAAAATGATGATTTAATCATCAATTCAATGGAATTCATGTGATTCACTCCAGGATGACTACAAGAATTGCGGATACCCTCTGATAGCCAACAATTATAATTAATAATATATGCATAAAGATCAATCATAGTTATTGTGCATCATCATTGTGGATACAACCAGCCAACTATGGCGATTTTTCATCGATGATGTTTACTGGGATCTAATTAAGTGGGCCTCACCTTGTATGCAACCATTATACACTGATCTAATGGCATGTATAGTAGAGGATATGAATGGGATAATACATGCCATATATGGGATATGAATGGAGATATACACTGATCATGGATATGAATGGGATTGCTCAGGTTCCGGAGACTTTTTGCCTGGGAGGGTTTAGTTTAGAGGTTTCTCTGAACATGTGGCAAGAACACATAATGACATCATTCATGGAACTGTTAGGCAAAATGATGATATATAAATGTGCGGATGGAGCACCTTCTTTTCGGAAAAAAAACACTTTTTTAGGGAGATTCAAATTGATTGAAATCATCATTTTGTAGTGATTTGATGGTACTTGATGGATATGAATTGGATGATCATTTTTTCGTTTGGCTCTTGAAGATTTTACCTCGACATTGGGAGTTAACTGTTGGATTTTCATCATAAATTTTAACCAACCATGTAACCGACCATGGGATTTTCAGGGATATATATATAATATTACATAATTGGAGAGGTATAACTGACAAGATGGGGATTAGGGTTAATCCATTCTATAGTGATCCACTGGGATATAGTTCATGGAGATGAAGGGGATTCCAATTTAATTTTGGCTCTTGAAGATGTTTATTTCACCGTCCTGTGAAAAACAAAACGACCGTCTGAAACACATCATCGCATCACTTAGGGCATACCCAATTCCAGAAACATCACTGGTTGGTGGCTTCAAACATTTTTTATTTTCCATAACACATATGGAATAATCCTTCCCATTGACGAACTCATATTTTTCAAGACGGTTATTGCAACCACCAACCAGATCAATTCGGGATGGTCTATGAAATTGGGTCTACTGAGAATCCAACATGGCCATGAACCATCCCCCTATAAGTAAATGGAGGTTGAGTTCGCAAAATCATCGAAGTCAATGGTGGTTTTGTTTCAGCAAGTCATGGAGCTGATTGCTGGATGGTCGGCCATGGGCCATCCCGAAAATCTAATCACAGGAGGCTAGACTCGGCTAGACTTAAGAACAAAAAAATGATTGGCTTCACCCTCCAGTAACCTCACATAGCGAAGCCATGGCCCATAGAAATAGATGATTTACTATGATTTACTTCTTAAAATGGAAGTGTTCCATAGCGAAGTGTTAGACTACCAGCAGTTGCTTACCTGGGATGACACTGATCATTGACTTAGCCATTGGGTTGCTTCAAGCACCAAGTCTTTGGGATTTTGCAAGAAACCGTGGGTCAAATCACCCTTTGCAAATCCCCCAGTAGTTTGGTGGTGAAATCACCAGCCGCCCCAAGGATGGCTGCACGGCCAACTTGATCTTAGCCAACTCCGAACAGATGATCTCCGTGAACCTGGGCGATTCCATGGCCTACCTCTGCCGCCTCAAAGATGCGGATGACCAGGAGGATACCCTGTGTATCCCACTGCAGCAGCGACAGCACAAGTGCTGGATGATGAAGGAGAAGGAGAGAATCCTGAGGCTGGGGAGCCTCTATGAATTGGATGATGGGAACATATTTAAGCGGAAAGTCCTATATTTGATGGTAAAAACCATGGTTTCCGGTGAAGATTTTCCCAACAAAACCAATCCAGTGACTCTAACTTTGCAAGGTGGGCCTCGTGTTATTCGTGATGTTTTCACGTTGGTTCCCAACAAAAACAGGAATACGAGTTCGTTATATCTACCATAAACCATACTTAAGCTAACAAAGGTAACAACTGCTATTTAGGGGGCTCACCTTGTGGTTGTTGTTCTTATTGTATGTTCCCATTCAAAAATTGGAGATTTAACATGGTTTAACCATCATTAAATGGGGGATACATAATAGTCATACCAATAAGAATAACAATAATAATAATATATTAACAATAATAATATAATAATAATGATATAACAATAATAATAATTAATGATAATAATGATAATAATAATAATAATTAATTAATATATATATATTATGTATTATGTATTATGTATATGTATATATATATATATAGCCAATTCTATAGTGTTATGGGATACCCTCTGGTAATCAAAGATAGCGTGCTGGAAAATTCAACACTTGGTTGGATGATTTTTGCCTGAAAATGGTGAAGTAAAACAGTCAGGACTCCTCAACCAAGAAGTCTGCAGAATTGTGGCTGTCTTCTTAAAGCAGAAATTTTGGGAAAGGTTATTTTCATCGGTTATCCTATCCACTATCGTTCGTTATACATCCATACAGTCAATCCCCAGCTACACCCAATTTGTTCTGAGCAGAACATGTGCTTGAAAGCAAGAATTTCTTCTGCAAGTATACATGGCTTCCCCATTTTTCCAATGGTCAAAGCTCGTGTCTTCCAGTTTCCATCATTTTGTTCATATGTTTCCCCATCCCAGCCGCCCTTGGATGACCCGCTTAAAATGTGTTTGTTCCAGCCTGGTTCATACTTCCCCTGGGTTACCCTCTGGTAATCAAACATAGCTTGATGGAAAATCCACCATTGATACATGATTTTCCCAGCTAGAAACCTCCATTTATAGGTGTGTTTCCCAGCCACATTTGATTAATTACCGGATGGTACCTCACACATTTGATTAATTACCGGATGGTACCTCACTAAATCCCTGCATATTCACCCTCCAGTAAAGTAACAGTTTGCTACGATTTAGACGGCCCGTTTATCAATAATGATGATTTACCCCTTGAAGATCTTGAAGAATGATGATTTCCATAGCAAACTGTTAGCTTAACACCCACATTCATCCAATTCCTGGTGAAATCAGCATTTTCCGCGATTTTTCCATCATTTTCTCCCCCGGTTTTTCGGCTTCGGAACCCATTAATGGCCCCGGTGGCGGCTTCGGAACCCACACCAGTTTTTTCGCGAAAGGTCGGGCGGCGCGGTGGAGAACGGCCGCATCAACGGCATCCTGGAGGTCTCGCGCGCCTTTGGTGACTTGACGCTGAAGAAGTTCGGGGTGCTCTGCACGCCGGAGTACATGAAGTTTCAGATGGACCGGGAAAAGGACGGCGGAGTTTCCGTGGCGGAGATGATGAAGTTATGCAAAAGTTATGGGGAATCTGGGGAAAGTGTATAAAATATCATGATATATCATGATATATAATCATGATATATGATAATATATGATAATGATATATATATATATATAATATATATATAATGATATATAATAATGATCTACAGTGATATATGATAATGATGTGTATAAAAAAATACATATACTGATACCTATACAATGTGACAACAGATGGAATTAATGTTAATAGATACTATACGTAAGGTTTTAGATGGAGCGGGAAACGGAGGAATACTGGGTGAACCAGACGTATTTGGGAAAGGAAAAAACCATGTGACACACACACACACACACATATCTCGGGTATGGGTAGCAGAGAAGCGAGTTTGGGGAAATGACGTAATATATACGTGCAATATGTATGTTTGTGTATATATATATGATATGCATGCGTAAAATTGTGTGCATACACATGCATCTACATATATATATATATATGATATATGTACAAATGTTTATATGTATATCATATCTATATACACTCTATGGACATATGTATATATATATATATCCACATATATGGCTATACTTTATACAAAACTTGAAGTGACTCAATAGTCACATGAAGTTGCAGATAGGCAGCGAGAAGGACGGGGCTTAGACTTGTTGACAGCTCCATATTGACTGGGCCCTTCTGGGACATGATTTTACGACAAGGTGGTGCCCCAGTTTGTTAGCTAAGTTGGGGTTCACATCACTCCAGTTTCACTTGGGTTTGTGGTAGATATGGAGGTTTCCTAAAATGGGGGTACCCCTAAATCATCCATTTTAATGAAATTTTTCGTTATAAACCATCCATTTTTCATGGTACCCCCATTTCAGGAAACTTCCATATATCGCAGTGCTTAATGGGTGTTAAAAACATGTTAGAAACAAACATCACTGGGGACAACCCGAAGCTTGGCGACTTCATCTCACCCGAAGCTTGTCTCACTGTCCATCCCGTTACCCAATTGGGTGATCTGAAAATTCACGGGAAAACCCTCCAACGTTGCTCCCAGATCCAGTGGTAAAAAGGATCATTTTTGCCATGAAAAACTTTTTTTTTTTGTTGGGGTAAATCTCCGCATTTTTTGAGGATTTTTGCGAAAGACACATGGCCGCCAATTTGAATACTTGGTGGCGAACTAGCCACCTACTAAGTAGCTTAAAAAACACTGGTTTTGTTAGTGGGATTTCCAAAAAAAGGCTTAATCCACTTGTTATAACCATCATTAACCATCATTAACCATCATTAACCATCCATTAACCATCATTAACCATCCATTAACCATCATCGGGGGCCACCATCAGTGCGCCAGGATCGTTTCGTGATCCTGGCCTGCGACGGCTTTTGGAACGCCTGGACCGCTGCGGAAGCCTTGGAGTTCACCTTGAGCTTGGTGGCCAACGAGGAAGGTCGAGCGGAGTTCCCTGAGTGGAGATTGTGGGATTGGATGATGGTTACTGGATGGTTGATGATTAAGAATGGTTGATTATGACGGTTAATTATGGTTTATGATGGTTAATGATGGTTAATGATGGTTAATGATGGTTAATGATGGTTAATGATGGCTAATGATGGTTAATGATGGTTAATGATGGTTATCACAATGGTTCATGATGATTAACAGTGGTTAATGGATGGTGAATAATGGATAATACTGGTTATAAGAATGGGTAATGATGGTTACCCTCTGGTAAACGTTTACAGTTTGCGAACTGGAACATCACCAACTTTAAGTTCGATAAATCAACGATTTCTATGTGCCATGGCTTCAATAGCAAACTGTTAGTCATTACCAGAGGGTATTAATCACCGTATTGTTACTTTAATAGGGTAATGATGATAATCTCCTGGATTTCGGGGAACACTATGGAACAATGATGGATAATGATGGATAATGATTCAGAATGGTTTAAGGGTTCATGGATGGTTGATCTGAACAGCCAAAATCACTGGTTTATAGTCTATAGCCGGGAAACTCCTGGAAAATTCGCTCTAATGGGGGTTTATAGCTGGGAACATCATCATTTTTTTTTGTGGGATACATAAGTTACTGAGTCTCCATACCCAAAGATGCTGGGGTAAATTGTTGCAAATGATGATTTTTTGGTAAAAAAATGTGTTTTTGTTGGGGAGTGGTAAACCCAAAAGATCAGTGGCAGGCCTGGCAGCACTGTTTTGTGTGGGGCTTTGGAGCTACAGATGGGGACCAAGGTTTGTTGGGGCCTTCAGGTATGAAAAACCCTGGTTTTCACAACACAGGACTCAGTTGGACTCACGCTAAAAATTGGGATGTTTCAGAAGTGTAGGATTTGCCGCACAAGAATTGGCTGTTCATCCCAGAGGCTGGTGTAGAACCATATATTGCGACGTTAGAATCCAGCAATTGAAGAAGCTACCCTTTGGTAAACTAACATAACAATGGAAAATCACAATTTTTCATGGGAAAATCCACTATTTCTATGGCCATTTTCAATAGCTATGTCAGTCATTGAGGGTAGTGAGAGAACCGCAGGACAGAGCTGGGATCTTACTAGCCTCGTCCAGTTGACACTGGACTTACCATTGACAGTTTGTGGGTGTATCCCCAATCCCATTGAATGTGGTAAACCCAATACTCATACGATTCCAGAAACCAAGCGTTTCAATTTAACATGATCCCATTATGTGGTATAGCCGCATAGCCATGTCCAAAAACCCCAAGTTTGGATGGTTTTTGAGTTTACCTTAATAGATTTCACACTTATGATATGGCATACAGGGTGGTGTTCCCCCCCAGTTATTTTGGTTGGTTCGATATCTACTTGGTGGCGAACTACCAGCGAATCCTAAGTGGGTTATATCCCTGGTTATAAGTGGGATAAGTAAGGTTAACCCATTTATAACTAGGGTGAACTAACCTACTTCGGATTCGTGGGTAGTTCGCCACCAAGTAGAGTTAGTTTTTTTCCATAAACCCTATACTTCACATCTTCATGATCTCCAACTTAGCGATCAATCACACACCGAAATCCCCAGCATTTGGTGGTGAAATCACCATTTTTCCCGCCACAGTTTTGATGGGAAAAGCTGTCGAACGTCCGGAAGAATCTGAGGTTGGAAGGAGATTCCGTGGACATTCGAGGCGGAATTTGCCATGGTGATGAAACACTGGGGATGTAGTTGTTAGTAGATGTTAGTAGTGGTTAATAGTGGTCAATAGTGGTTAATAGTGATTAATAATGGTTAATAATGGTGAATAGTGGTGTGAATAGTACTTAATTGTGATACCGTAATACCGCGTTTTTTTTCTTTTAAATATAGTGCTTGATTATGGTTAATTGTGGTAAATACTGGTTGATAATGGCATAGTAATCCTGTCAACCGTCCCCAAAGAGTGAAAGGTACATGATCACCAAATTAGTAGTGATTTACTTTTTTTTGATGATTATAATGGCATGTAATGGTCATAGAACGGATAACTGGATATTTACCATCTGGACATGTAACAGTTGGCTCTGGAAAATGGCCCATAGACATAGATTCATGTGGGCACTGTCTATAACAAACTGTTCGATTGCCAGAGGATATGGGATGGGTACTTAGATTATATGGTTTAGAACCCATTATATATAATATATATATATATACTCCAAATTCCAACATTTTTTTGTCATGTAAGGGGAATAACTGTAGTTGTTACCCACTTACCGGGATACATTCAAACAGAGTACTGTTCCATTATTCTGGTACTTCCCAAGATTCGACTTCAATCAAACGTGGTGTGCTGGAATATGTTCATCTATGGATGATTTTCCCAGCTAGTTTTAGTTCAGGGATTTCCAATTGCCACCTTTGGTTACCGGAGGGGTCTCATACTCATCCCATGAAGTATCCCATACACATATTCCACTAACTATAGGTTATAGGTATATCTACCAGAAACCATAGTTAACCATCAATATATGTAATATTCCATTAAATATCAGATTCATTTGACTTCAAAATCCTTTTACCATTGGGGAGCATTTAATGCCCAGCTTTCCCAGCCCAGGTGTCTGCAAAGAGCTTGTCCAGCATGTCATTGAAGAAAGGAAGGCGCAGGACAATGTGACCTGACGATGTGATGTCCAACTGGGAAAATCTGAGATATCTCTCGGGAATACTTAAGTATAGTTGAGTTATGAATACAGGATGGCCCCCCCCCAGTTATAAGTTGGTTTATAACCCACAGTAACTAGTTCGTTATATCTACCATAAACATATAAACCATAGTTCATTCAGCCACAGCCATATCTCAACTGAACGCTATATGAAGGGGGCCCCATCCTGTAGAAAGTAAACAATGGGACATTTGATCCGGTTGGAGTTGAACATGGCTATTGACATGGGAAATTCGTTATGAATACCTTCTGAAACATCAAAGGTGGCTGGAGAATCCCGTTTTGTTTTTTTAAACGGTATGATTTTTCAGCATGCCACGTTTGAACTACCGGAGGATAGGAATTACCCTCTCGTATTTTAACATAACTATTGAACATGGCCATTTATAGTTGATTTACCAATTAAATAAAATGGTGATTTTCCAGTTCGTTATGTATACGTTTACCAGAGGGTAACCATCATTAACCGTTATTATCCATTATTCACTGAATCACCATCCATTAACCACTATTTTCACCATCATTAACCATTTTTTATAACCACTATTAAATAATTAACCATCCATTAACCACTATTAACCATCATTAACCATTGTTATAACCATCATTAACCATCAGTGTAAAGATTGAATTCCTAAGTTTGGGGTGTATTCACATGGACCAGTCGTGATGCTGTGACTTTTTCGTTTTCCTGGAGGCCCAGGGGATGCAGATGGATGGCGAGGGGCTATTTTTTTAGGATTACCCGACATGGTAAACGTTTACATAACTATGGAAAATCACCATTTTTAATGGGAAAACTGACAATTTCGACTGGGCCATTTTCAATAGCTATGTTAGTCATTACCAGAGGGTACAGTAAGCATCCAATTTTTGGTAACTTATCGAATTTTCACCAATGACCAATGTCCATATTTACCAAACAGTTTTGATAGAATGATAGAATGCACGGACATGAATGGTATATATATATATAACATTATAATACATTATATAACCAACAATGTGATATGGGATGATATGATTATATGGGTTCGTCCGGAACTGATCCCCTTTCCAAGATTCTAATGGGGGAAAACCAGGTTTCAAAAAACACATGGGGATTATTGCAGAAAAATCGGAGCCGAAGCGGTCACTTTTAGGTTTAGGACCAGCAGTCAATTTTTGTCTGGAAAAAGGTCCTAAATCATTCCATTTCTAGGTCTGAATAGGATCTGGCCATATTTTTTTTAGGACCTGAAAGCATTGAAAACTCGGAGTATCCAATGCTTGGTCAGGAAAAACAAGTCCTAATGGGATGTTCTATTCCAATTTTACATGTACTATATCTAAAGCCACCCCAAAAAAGCATAGAACAAGTAATTTACCACCTATATTTTGGTAGGATTTTCTGTTTCTGTCATTTTTTGGGTTTACTGTATGTATATATATATAATATAATCACATTAAATCCCATTAAATCATCCTTTTTCTTGGTTAAAAGTTAAATCATTTTTTTTTTGTGGTTTTCATTTCATCATCAATCCTATTAATCATATATATACTGTATATATATATATCAATATAGTATAACCACTCAGATCTGCCCTGCTGAGCCTTCACTGTAGGTGAGTGTGGTCGTGCTGCATATGATGTCACAAGCCGGGTGATGGCCGAGCTCCGCAGCCGACAGCTGGCTGTTGACTGCGATGCTGCGTTAAAAAACAATGGTGCTGCTAGAGGGTCCAGATCTCTCGATGATTTTCACGTAGCGATTTAGACGTGATTTGACTATGAGAAATATTGGAAAACCAGGATTTTTGGAGGATTTTAAATCAAAAAAAGCCTCCAGCAAACGTACATAAAAGGCGCAGCAAAAGGCTCTGGAAATCCATCGTTTTCCCCTTGGACATGATATACAAATGCTACATGTTCCTATTTCTATGTTAGTTTACTGGAGGGTAACCATTAGTAACCATCGAAAATGAGGATTTTTCCATCGATTCAACTTGATTTGAGCAATAAATTACTATCTGCGGCTGGTTTTTTTGTTGGTCGCACCACAGGATGAACTCTGTGGATGAATCACCTGTGAAAAAAGTCACAGTTGGACCCCCCACACACAGGCCTCTAAGATGCTCATCTTTAATCAAACATGGCGAAAATCTGAAGCTCAGATCTCATTTGTTTCCAGGATTTTCCCATTGAACATATTGAAATGTCCAGTTTTTTTTTTTGATTTCCCATGGTCGCGGAGAGATGTCTGAGGCATGGAGGGACCGCAGTGCATGCATCTGTACAAGGGCACGGATCTCGGAAAGTCGCTCGGTTTCACAACGACCAAGCCCGAAATGGCAGTGATTTGTTTATGGTTATTTTTATGGGGTTATCATTCCATGAATGGAGTGACTTCCTGACTTATACCTTGTATTTCGGGCCACAACAGTGGTGAGGGTAGCTACTAATACCGTCTAGTGAAAATTATGGCAACGCCCAACAAAGATGCCGTTTATGTATGAAAACAGGATGGTAGTTCGATGATTCATTTACCTCATATTTTCATGGTAGTCCAACCGTTTGAGATGGATGTGTCTGAAAATGCTTCAGTATACTCCGCATATCTAGCCCAAAATCATCATAGCCATGCTAGTGGTAAAAGTGTTTTTTTTTCTCACCAGTGGAATGGGGACATCCCTATTTTTCAGAGAAAATCAAGTCTGGACATCTGCTTTTCTGTGAAGACTAGGACTAGGATCCTCCTTTCCAGTGGATGTCGGAGCTTGACCTGGAGTTGAGGTCGACTTTCCAATAGCCACCATTGCAGTTTCTAGATTCGTTTTATCAATGGGAGATCTCCAGGATCCTAAATTGGAGGTACGTTAGTACCATATTTTTGGCCATATTTTGTGGGGATGGCCATTGATTTTATGGGATTTTTATTGGATTTCTATTTTTAGCACTGTAGATTTTGACGAAATCATGAAATCCACCAACTGCAGGATTCTGAAAACTCCACTGTAGTTCGTTGAGTTTCCACCGGTGCCGCTCTTAAAGTCTGTAGAGAGCATGATTATTTTGTTTGATTTTCTACAGGATGGCCCCCCCGTAAACGATAGCGTTCAGTTGAGATATGGCTGTGGCTGAATGAACTATGGTTTATGGTAGATATAATGAACTAGTTAATGGGCCAATGGGCTTTATAAACCCACAAACATCACTGGGGCACCATCCTGTGGGTTGAATATGATTTCCACGAATTTCCAAGCAATTCCAACCCTTGGCATCCCTTGCGATCTTGCATCTTTAAATTAGTTATGAGATACCTGCACACATACACAACAACAAAAACTGATAATCCATGATCATCCCCAAATTTGCTGGCAAATCTCTGCATTTTAAAGATGGTTTCCATCCCCAATATCTTATCAGGAACGAGGGTCACGAATTTTTTTCGGCACTCAGTTGGATGGTCCCTGGATTCGCAACGATGGGAATTCCAATGTTGGGAAGATGTTTTACCCTCTGGTAATGACGAACATAGCTATTGAACTTGCCATTTATAGTTGATTTACGGTAAATCAAAAATGGGGACTTTCCATAGCTATGTGACTTTACCAGAGGGCATTTTCTGGGTGTTCCTGGATCGCAAATGAAAGTCGCATAGAAGGAGCTTTTCCAGGATGTGAAAATTCGACTAAAAATGGTCCGAATTCCAGGCTTCCCACATTTGAAGCAACCTTTACTTCAATGAGTCAGTATATGGGGGTTTCCTAAAATGGGGGTACCCCCAAAATGGATTTTTCCGCCTTTGACTTTAGTGCTGTGTGACAGCGGTAGAGACAACCAGCTACTGGTACGCGTGAAATCCCCACCATTGCGATCATTAATTAAAAAACACAAACAAAACAAACAAAAAACAACAAATTGAGGGGTGACGACGAGACACACCATGGGACAGTCGAATGCACGGATGCAAAATGACAGATGCCGGATCGAATGCATATGAATGCATACCCCCAAAATGGATGGTTTATTTTATGGAAAATCCATCTAATCTATAAATGGATGATTTGGGGGTAGCCCTATTTTAGGAAACCTCCATATCTCATGAATCGAACGTTATATCAAGTTATATCGTATCACATCCACATAAACTTATTGGATGATTTTGCCACATTTCTGTTGGCAAAATCTTCACGTCGTGATGTCACTGGAATGATGGGAATGAATTGGGAATGATGGGAAGGGTAAAACATGTGACTGTCCCAAAGAGGCCTAGTTTCAGAGTGAAAAACATGACATGGAACGCAGTCAACCAGGCCCTCGGCTCGGCAGAGTACAAATTGGCTAAAATACATGGGTAACCGGTAGGTCAAACTGGGGCCGAAATCTTTGCCATAAACTAGAAGATATTTGATACCCAGACCATCCCAGACCCAGTAAAATGTTGAGTTTTTATTCAGGGGATGCAAGATTCGCCATACTATTCACGGTGGGATATGGTTGGATTCAATGGATTTTCTTGATGATTTTCCCATGAAATATGGTGGTTTCAACTGTACATTTTCGCTTGGACCAATTCATTGATGGATACTCTCTGAGTTACCCTTTGGTAAACTAACATAGCCTTAGAAAATGGTCCATTTAGTGCGTGGATTTACCCATTAAAATGAGGATTTTCCATAGCTATGTTGGTTTATCAGAGTGGCTAGTCCCTGTTTCCCTACTTGGAAGTGCTGTTCCAGTTACAAGTGTACAATAATTACCGAAGGAAGTTTAGAAGTCAAACTTTCGACAGTATGGACAGATGAAAAGCAGAGATGGGAAGAGTCAGAGAAGAGAAGAGAAGAAGAAAGCAGATCAAAGAAGAGGATCTTCAGAAGAAAGAAGATCCAGGTGCGCGAAAAGGTAGGAAAGTCGCGAAACGCTGTGTTTTTCCAATGATTTGTGGCTCCGGAGGGTCGAAAAGTAGGCTCGCCAAAGCGGCGGGGGCGGAGCCAGCTGGCCAGATGAGAGATGAAAAATTGCACGCCATTGTGGCGCGAAGCACATCTGCAAGTGAAAAAGCTAAACGCACCTCATGTTCGGAGCACTTTTCGAAGTTGCGATATCGAAAAAGTGCACGCCGTTGTGGCGTGAAGCACATTTCCAAGCCAAAATGTACAAAGCACACCATTCTCAGACCACTTTTGGAAGTTGAGGTGTTGAAAAAGTGTACGCCGTTGTGGCGCGAAGCACATTTCCAAGCCAAAATGTACAAAACACACTACATTCAGAGCACTTTTGGACGTTGAGATGTTCAAAAAGTGTACGCGGTTGTGGCGCGAAGCACGTTTCGAAGTCAAAATGTACAAAGCACACCATGTCCGGACCACTTTTGGAAGTTGAGATGTCGAAAAAGTGCACGCCGTTGTGGCGCGAAGCACATTTCGAAGTCGAAAGTGCAAAAAACTGACGGGTACGGAGCACTTTTGGACGTTCAGATGTCGTTTCGCGTCGCCAGCGCAATGGATTGCGCACCTGGTCAAAAGTAAGCACGACGTGAAGGTTTTCTAGCAATTCCCAAAACGATGGCAGGCGTGGGACATTTGAAGAGGATTTGGAAAGATGCATTTTCTGTGGCAGGCGCAGTACACGAGACATGTTCATCAAAGATGTTAGCAAGTCAGGGCGCTGATTTCCTGAGAGACATGGACTGGAAAAATCGCAAAACGCATTGGTACGAGGCCGTCAGCTCTGCACTCAGCTTTCCATTATTGAAGGAAGTCTCGCAGACTTGCTTCGTTTTTGATGTTGCCAACTCCGAAAATTGAGGAAGTCTCGCAGAATTGCTTCGTTTTTGATGTTGCCAACTTCGAAAATTGAGGAAGTCTCGCAGAATTGCTTCCTTTTTGACGTCATCAAGTTCAAAAGTTGAGGAAGTCTCGCAGAATTGCTTCGTTTTCAAGCTTGCAGATGGCAGATAGACAGATAGATAGATCGATAGATAAATAGAAAGAAAGAAAGAAAGAAAGAAAGATAGATAGATAGAACTACAACTACACTACGCTACGCTACGCCACGCCACGCCACGCCACGCCACGCCACGCCACGCCACGCCACGCCACGCCACGCCACGCCACCCCACACCACACCACACCACACCACACCACACCACACCACACCACACCACACCACACCACACCACACCACACCACACCAGACCACACCACACCACACCACACCACACCACACCACACCACACTACATTACACTACACTACACTACACTACACTACACTACACTACACTACACTACACTACACTACACTACACTACACTACACTACACTACTACAACTACAAATAAATTACGCTACATTACACTACACTAATTGCACTACACTACACTCATTGCATCTATATAATTACACTACACTACACTAATTACACTACAACAACAACTACTACTACCACAGCTACAACTACAACTACAACTACACCACATTACACTACACTGCGCTAATTACACTGCAGTACGCTACAACTACAAATACACATGCAACTGCAACTACACTACATTACACAACACTACACTACACTACACTACACTACGCTAATTACACTACACTACGCTAATTACAGTACACCACGCTAATTACATTACAGCTACAGCTACAACTACAACAGCTACTACTACTACTACTACTCCTACTACTACTCCTACTCCTACTCCTACTCCTACTCCTACTCCTACTCCTACTCCTACTCCTACTCCTACTCCTGCTGCTCCTACTGCTGCTGCTGCTGCTGCCATTGCTACTGCTACTGCTACTGCTACTGCAACGACAACTACTACTGCTACTACTGCTACTGCTACTGCAACTGCAGCTGCAACTACAACTACACTACATTGCGCTACGCTACACTAATTGCACTACACCACACTACAGTACACAACACTACACTGCACTACACTACATTACATTACATTACACTGCATCAATTACACAACACCACAACTACTCTTAGTAAGTGGTTAATGATGTTACTGACCATAGTCAGCTTACCAAAATTTCTATCTCTGGTAAAAGCCACTTATTTATATAATCTTGGGGTCTTGAACTCACACCAATCTTACGTGAACCTGAAAAGCGACCTGTGGGATGATCCGTGGTTGATGTCCATGTTGCGCAGCGCCAAGGCAACGTTGGACCACGCCCTTCAAGTACTACACCGAGGCCCTCGAGGTTCGTAGAACCACCGTGGACGTCCGGGAGCCCCAGTGGTTGGTTGCGATTCAGCCCTGATTGATGATTCATAGTGGTTTAATATGGTTTAACATGGTTTAATAGGGACTATGGGGATATAAGTGGTTATAAGTGGATAAAAGTGGATGTGATATAACTGATACATCATGGTTGGTTGATGATTTGGGATGATAGTAAGCAAAATTCGGGGATTTATGATTTTGAACCAACAAACATAGGGGTTATCATTGGGATATCATTGGGATTTGGGATATAATTGGGATATCTATGTATACATAAATAAATAAATAAATATATATATATATCTGGATAAGTGATTCATTGATAAAGACCTCACTGCGACCTCATTGGAACGATGATTAGTAAGGGTAACTATCCCCAGACGGCCGTATTTCAGGTGGACGTCGGCCAGACATAGGAAGATAGCAAGTCTTATTTCTTCAGGTTACTTGGTGGCTCATCCCACTTACTAAGTAGGTTTTAACTTTTAAGCAGATTTACCCTACTTATCCCAGTTGTAACCAGGGATATAAACTGGGCGGGGGATCGTTTGAACATTTGCGTTTTTCTCGCTTGTGCGTTTGTTTTTGCGTTTGATTTTGGATTGCAAGGCCCGTAAAGCCGTAGAGCCCGTAGAGCCCGTGGAGCCCGTGGAGTCCGTAGAGCCCGTAGGGCCCGTAGAGCCCATAGAGCCTGAGTTCGGCGCGTGGAGCCCGTAGAGCCCGTGGAGCCCGTAGAGCCCGTAGAGCCCGTGGAGCCCGTGGAGCCCGTAGAGCCGGTAGGGCCCGTGGAGCCCGTAGAGCCCGTAGAGCGCGTGAGGGGCGTAGAGGGGCGTAGAGGGGCGTAGAGGGGGTCATGCTATTGTCCATGAAACAGCAGAAAGTTCGACCAGTGGGAGGCATTGGAGCGGAACCACTTCCTTCCAGTGATCTCCACCACTTGACGTTTTTGGAACATACTTTGTGATCTATCTGGCATTCTTTCTTGCATTATATCCGACAATCATGCTGGCATCTGTCTAGTTGACATATATTTGAACATTCGATCTGACATTCTGTCCGGCATTTTCCAGACATATATTTAAACATTATTTTTGGCATTCTGTCTAGCATTATATTCGACACTCATTCTGGCATCTTGCCAGCTGACATATATTTGAACAATCTATGATAATCTATCTGACGTTCTATCTGGCCTTTCTTACATATATTCAGACATTCTATTTGGCATTCTTCCTAGCAGCCTATTTGACATATGGCATTCTATCTAACAAAATTCTATCCGATATTCATTATGGCAGTCTATATAACAAATAAGTTTACAATCTATCCGGCATTCTTTCTGGCATCTATTCTAACATCCCATCTGACATGCTTAGTGGCACATGTTCGGGTCCGTGCGCGCCCAGACTGAGCTGGAAAAATAGGAAGTCATGTTAGACAGTGAAGAGCGTAGCAACAACAAAAATAGATGTAAGTTAAGTTGGAAATCCAAGAGCGTAGCGACAACATACGGATACGGAATTAGTAGGACGGGTGCGTGGTGGAAATCCAAGAGCGTAGCAGCAGGAACGTAGTCGGAAGTTGTGTTGGAAGGCCAAGAGCGTAGCAGCAAGAAGGCAGTAGGAAGTAATTTTTGAAAGTCAAGAGCATAACAACAACAAACAGGAAGTTTTGCGTGGAAGCCAAGAGTGCAGCAGCAAGAACATAGTAGGACTTTATACTAGAAAGCCATGAGCATGGCAACAACCAACGTCGTAGGAACCCAAGAGCATAACAGCAGAAAAGTAGTCGGAAGTTATGTTGGAAAGTCGAGAGCGTAGCAGCAGAAACGTAGTTGGAAGTTACGTTGGAAACCCCAGAGCGTAGCAGCCGGAGCGTAGTAGGAAGTAATATTTGAAAGCCAAGGGCGTAGCAACAACAAACGGGAAGTTATGTTGGAAAACCAAGAGCGTAGCGACAAAATAGGGATACGTAATTAGTAGGATGGGCGTGGTGGAAAGCCAAGAGCGTAGCAACAAAAACATAGTCGGAAGTTATGTTGCAAAGTGAAGATCGTAGCAGCAAGAACGTAGTTGGAAGTTACGTTGGAAACCCCAAAGCGTAGCAGCAGGAACGTACTAGGAAGTAATATTTGAAAGCCAAGAGCGTAGTAACAACAAAGGGGAAGTTATGTTGGAAAGCCAAGAGCGTAGCAGCAAGAACGTAGTAGGAAGTAATGGTTGAAAGTCAAAAGCGTATCAACAATCAACAGGAAGTAATGCGAGAAAGTCAGGAGCATTGCAGCAACAAACATAATAGGGCGAGTTTGTGATGGAAAGACAAGAGCCTCGCAGCAGAAACGTAGTCGGAAGTTATGTTGGAAACTCCATAGCGTAGCAGCAAGAACGTAGTAGGAAGTAATGTTTGAAAGTCGAGAGCGTAGCAACAAAAAACAGGTAGTTGTGTTGGAAAGCCAAGAGTATAGCAGCAAAATTGTAGTAGGAAGGCGTATTTGAAAGTCAAGAGCGGAGCAGCAACAAACACAGTATAGGGAGCTATGTTGGAAAGTTAAGAGAAGTAATGTTCGAAAGCCAAGATCGTAGCAGCAAGAACGTAGCAGGAAATGCTGTTTGAAACTCAAGATCCTAGCAACAACAAACAGGAAGTTATGCTGAGCCCAGTAGTTAAACCTAATTTCGGTATATATATGTGTGTGTGTATATGTATGTATGTAATGTAATGTAATGAAATGTAATGTAATGTAGTGTAATGTAATGTAATGTAATGAAATGTAATGTAATGTCTGTATGTATGTATGTATTAATGTAATGCAATGTAACGTAATGTAATGTAACGTAACGTAATGGTATGTATGTATGTATGTATGTACGTATGTATGTATGTATGTATTGTATGTATTGTATGTATTGTATGTATTGTATGTATTGTATGTATTGTATGTATTGTATGTATTGTATGTATTGTATGTATTGTATGTATTATGTATTGTATGCATTGTATGCATTGTATGCATTGTATGCATTGTATGTATTGTATGTATTGTATGTATTGTATGTATTGTATGTATTGTATGTATTGTATGTATTGTATGTATTGTATGTATTGTATGTATTGTATGTATTGTATGTACTGTATGTATTGTATGTATTGTATGTATTGTATGTATTGCATGTATTGTATGTATTGTATGTATTGTATGTATTGTATTGTATTGTACTGTACTGTACTGTATTGTATTGTATTGTATTGTATTGTGTTGTATGTATGTAATGTATGTAATGTATGTAATGTATGTAATGTATGTAATGCATGTAATGTATGTATGTATGTATGTATGTAATGTAATGTAATGTAATGTAATGTAATGTATGAATGAATGAATGAATGAAATGTATGTATGTATGTATGTATGTATGTATGTATGTATGTATGTATGTATGTATGTATGTAATGTATGTATGTATGTATGTATGTATGTATGTATGTATGTATGTATGTATTGCGTGTATTGTGTGTATTGTATGTATTGTATGTATTGTATGTATTGTATGTATTGTATGTATTGTATGTATTGTATGTATTGTGTGTATTGTATGTATTGTATGTATTGTATGTATTGTATGTATTGTATGTATTGTATGTATTGTATGTAATGTATTTATGTAATGTATGTATGTATGTAATGTATGTAATGCATGTAATGTATGTAATGTGTGTAATGTATGTAATGTATGTAATGTAATGTAATGCAATGTAATGCAATGTAATGTAATATAATGTAATGTAATGTATGGTATGTATGTAGGTAGGTAGGTAGGTAGGTAGGTAGGTAGGTATGTAATGCATGTAATGCATGTAATGCATGTAATGCATGTAATGTATGTGAGTATGTAATGCATGTAATGCATGTATTTTTAAGTGTAAATTGAATTAGGGTTAAAGAGTCGGATACTTAGTCTTGTTAAGTACTAGTGCACCCAATGTTCTTTCCATCCTTCTGTAACCGTAAGGCCCATAAGTCCCGTAAGGCCCGTAGAGCCCATAGATAGAGCCCATAGATAGAGCCCATAGATAGAGCCCGTGGAGCCCGTGGAGCCTGTGGAGCCCGTAGAGCCCGTGGAGCCCGTGGAGCCCGTAGAGCCCGTGTAGCCCGTGGAGCCTGTGGACCCGTGGAGCCCGTGGAGCCCGTAGAGCCCGTAGAGCCCGTAGAGCCCGTGGAGCCCGTGGAGCCGGTAGAGCCCGAAGAGCCCGCAGAGCCCGTGGAGCCGGTAGAGCGAGTAGAGCCAGGGTGTCTAAGAGTAATGTTCAATTGATCCCCTTTCATGTTCAGGTGACCCTACAAAGCTCTAAGTGATCCAAAAGTTTCAAGTGATCCAAACGGCAATGTCCAAGTGATCCTGGCGCCATAAAAATTACTTAGTAAGTGGGATGAGCCACAAAGTACGGAATTTTTGTAATTTACCCTGATCTACGTACGGTACGGACATATAGGGCCATGGTGAGCCAAAATTCGATCGAATGAGACTTTGCAGTGAGCCCTAGGGTTCTTCAATCAGGGCATGCATTTTGCGGGTATTGTATCAAGGATGAAGTATAGCAGAGCTCTTCCATGAGAGTTCTAACTTTACATCTTGCAGGCTTCTTTGTTCCCAACTTTTACTCAATTTTTGCAGAGGCGCTGAAGCATTCATCCTATTCCTCCCTGGTACCGCTCTTAACAACCCTCCTTTGATAGGATACCTGATAGGCTAGTGCCCTTGTCGCTACCTCCGGGCACAGTTCACTGCCTGTTGCAGCTAGCGATTGCTGAATTCTTACCGGACGATGAGTATGTTTTGACAGGAGCCCCGCAAAGCGAATTAAGAACCCATGCAATTTTTTTGGGGTCCCCTGGGGTGCTAAATAGATTTGGATACTTGGCGCAAAAAGAGTCGGATGGTCCGACCCTTTTAGAAGTTGGTGACCTGCACCCCCCACCTTGTGTACAAGATGTTTTTTTCCCTGAACATAGGCTATCCCAATCCATCGGTTAATCGTCATATTTCCCATTAAATTGCCATTTTTGGTGCACATTCCCAATTTTTACACAGACCCAAGTCGCAATATATCATAATATGGTTGGTTAATTTTGGTTATATCTCATGAATGTTGGTTTATATCCATGAATCAAACATCATGTCATATTTTTTGGGTATAAAACATTATACAAGGTGGGGCCCCAAAGTTTTAAGTTCATTCATTTTATAACCCCCATTAACTATCAAGGCGGACCACGACACGGAAAAAAAAACTACGACAGGACTCAGGCCACAACCACGACAAGGAAAAAATATAACCTCGTCATTAACTATAGCTATACCATAACGAATAGTTAAACCAGTTGCAAGTCAACTTAGCTTTAAGATAAACCAGATCTAAATCCCCATCGCTAAATCACCATTTTCCCCACTTCACGGGAACATCCCCAAGTTTCCATCATATTTCATGAGTAAATCCGAATTTTCCATCATGTTTCATGGGATAAATCACCAGTTTCCAGCCATTTGTCCACCCTTTTCTCCCCGCGAAGCGAAATCTTCGAGCGCAGCTTGCGCAGCTTGCGCAGCGCACCGAGGATACTCACTACTTGGTACGCCTGGGCTCCGGTTGGATTTGGACAGCTTTGTGGCCACCTCAACCTTGGCACCTTGGGCGATCGCTGGGGGTGGGGATGGGATCTGGCTGTGAACGAACTGGTTCAAGAACGAACTAGTTGTTCCCATTAAGCCATAGGAAAAACAAACTAGGCTGAGATATGGCTGTGGCTTAACTAGGGTTTGTTGTAGATACAGCTATAGTTAATGAGGGTTTATATAGCAACATTCACACCACATTCACAAACATCCTGTAGTGGATTCAACTGATGGTTAATAATGAGTTCTTAATGGATTATTTCATGGACTACTTGGAGGAGCATCCCACGGATCGTAACTGGTGAAGAAACATAAATCATAGTTAGTAACCACCCATTTCCATATGGGATAGGCCACTGAATGGAGACTTACTCACCAGGGTTACTAAACCACTTACTAAGTGGGATGATCCTCCAAGTAGTTATACTTATACTTGTATATATGTCAAACATGGGGTTTGAATCATTGTCAAACCAACAACACATAGGGAACAGAAAATACACACACACATACATATATATATACATATATATATACACACATATATACATATATATATATACATATATACATATATATATATATACATATATATATACACATACATACACACATAAATAAATAAATACATATATATATATACATATATATACACACATATATACATATATATATATATTTACATATATATATATACATATATAAATATATTTACATATATATATATATATCTAATATAGATATTTGAGATGGCCATGAACACATGGGAAAAGGACAACATTTGTCATTTTCCCCTATACAACGATTCTATTTCGAGGGTGCATTGATTTTAAGCCATGTCAATATTAGAAAATCATCGTTTTTTTATATATGTCACATGGCAACCACAGCCAAAATCAGGTTTTCTATATATTTGTGAGTGACTTTCACCAAGAATCATGGGGAATTCGTCGTTGTTTTTTTCAAGAAAGGGAGATGATGAACTCAACCCACTGGATTATGATGATCATTTTTCGGTTGAGTTGGGAAATAAGCCATTACTTATCGCGACCAGAGGTTGATAAAACTTCGGGATGGGGGCCAATGGGCCAAGCGTTTAGTAGCGGCAACCCGTGTTGGGGACATGTTGTGTGTTTGTGTAAAAGTTTTTCCCCACCTGCCAGGTGAGGGTTGTTAGATTTTATCGCAGTTGTTCTCCTCCTCCGCCTCCTCCTCCTCATCCTCCACCTCCTTCTCCTCCTCCTCCCCCTCCCTCTCCTCCAGCTTCTCCTCCACCACCTTTGCATCCACTCCCATGTTCACTTCCGAATTGCCAACTCTTCGCCAAGCTCTTCGCCAACTTCCGCACGCAGAGGGCACTGCTGGACCTCAACCTGGGACCTCCCGAGCTCAGTGAGCACCGCTGGACCTCAACCTGGGACCTTCCGAGCTCAGTGAGCACCGCTGGACCTCAACCTGGGACCGTCCGAGCTCAGTGAGCACCGCTGGACCTCAACCTGGGACCCTCCGAGGTCAGTGAGCACCGCTGCCTCAACCTGGGACCCTCCCAGCTCAGTGAGCACCGCTGGACCTCAACGGCCAGATAGAATGCCAGAATCTATGCCAGATAGAACGCCAGATAGAATGTCAGAAAGAATGCCAGAAGATATGCCACATAAAGTGCCAGAATGTTTGCCAGATAGACTGCCAGAAGATATGCCAGGTAGAATGCCAGAAGATATGCCAGATAGAATGCCAGAAGATATGCCAGATAAAATCTCAGAAGATATGTCAGATAGAATGCCAGAAGATTGACAGTAACAAAACGTATAGATGTCATGGTGGGGATAACTCGAAGTAAAGTAATTTTTAGCATTCCAGATTTTATAGGGCATACTGTGGATGGTTGCTCCCCAGTTGCTAGATTTGCTAGATGGTTTATCCTATTACTATCCCATTTACAGGGGTTCATATACTTAGCACTATGATCCAAACCAATCTCATTACATTTACCAATGATCCAATTGATAATAATGATCATTAAGTATAACTTAGCTCAAACAGATCCAACAAAAGCAATTATCATATCCCACCATTTATCAACTGATGTCAACTGTAATTTTATAGTCCTTTGATGTCCTTTGATGTCCTTTGATGTCCTTTGATGTCCTTTGATGTCCTTTGATGTCCTTTGATGTCCTTTGACCAACGGTTTCAAAGTGACCGTTACCATGATCCAATACACAGCGGAGCTGTGTGTTTCGTCTCAGGATTTGGGGCAATTTGAAGAAGAAAGAGCAGGAGAAGCCAATTGAGGTGACGCCGCCGCGGTGAATCAGTTAGGTGAATGGATGGTTGATGCTTCATGATGGATGATGATTAAGCATGGTTAAAATCGTGGTGAATGATGGTGAATAATGACTAATAGTGGTTTTCATGATGGTGAAAAATGGATATATAATAATGGTTATAATAATGGTCAATATAGTGGTGAATGATGGCGAATAATGGATTAATGGATACTAATGGTTAATGATGGTTAATGATGGATGATGATGATTCAAATCATGGTTACTTGCTTGCGAACTACCCACGAACCGTAAGTGGGTAATTAATTCTCCTAGTTTTTTTTAGTGGATGAAACCTACTTATCCAACTAACAAAACTGCGATAGAAAACTCACGTAGTGGGATGAGCCACGTAACGTTTGGAGAGCTACTCTCCAGCCACAAACATGGCTGAGAAATGTCCGATCCTCGAAGTTTGTATGGAGATTTCAATGGGATTCTCCATTTATAGATGAGGATTATCCAATTTATAGATGAGAATTATCCAATTTATAGATGAGGATTATCCATGATCTCATTTATGGAGATTATCTCAATCATCTATAAATTGAGTGATTATCCAGCTAGCCACGTGGATGATTACCAGAAGGTAACTCCGAATTTTGCTTCAGTTGGAGACGAGACATTTAAACAAATGGATGATGGTAATCAAAAAGTGGGGACATTTTTAGGTGCATATCGCATATCATTTTTTCAAGTCGGATATCAAGTGAGATACGTTTTTTAAGGATATAAAAGGGTTTATATCGAGATATAGAGGTTAAACTGGATGTTGCTTTTGGTGTGGTTTTACCTGGCTGGCGCATTTTTTCAAGGTTCCAAATATCTTCTGGTTCGCGTAGGCAACATTTCATTGTATTTCAAATGCTCGTACATTGGCGTTGGAACCTCATGGACGTTATACTTAGTCGGTTTTATCCAGAAGCAATGGCCCAAAAGGATCCAAAAGGTAGGTTCATTCATGGACAGTGGTCTAGAACTGGGATTCAGCACAAACATCGTGACTGGCTTGGTGGGCTTGTGATTGGCTTCGCTGGGGTAGGACCTAACAATGGCAACTGGGTGCTGTCTGGACCACTATCTACACCCAAATGTGCACAAAAAAACACCCCTACCTCGCCAGGACCACTCCACGCTAGTAACCGTCAAACACGTGGCTCGGCTTGTCTTCCGCATAGTCAAAGGGTACTATTATGAGAATTTGGGAGCCATAGGCTGGGGCTCGCAAGAATATTTTTTTTCAGGAAAACATAAAGAAATCACCACTTTGGTTATCATCAAACTTATCCTCCAAATCTTCATCTGTTTGGCTAGCTTTATTTCTGTATCACCTGGATCATCCTGAAAAACATCACCAGCAAATCAGGCTCACCAAACAAATTTCCAAGTCGCCGCTCGTTCTAATCCGATGATTTTGGATTTTCACTGGAATCTATCAACGGCCCAATAGGCTTCCTATGTTAGAAACTTCGGCTAAGGTCACCGGGCAACCGTGATGCGCGCTGATACTGCCTCCATCACAACTCCCACAAAGCCGGAACGCAATTTCGCAGTGACGACCGCGATTGCGCAGTCGAAAGAAACATGAAAATACGCTTGGGAATCGAAAAAAACGTCGATTCCGCATAGTACCCGGTACGGTACGAAGTCTTATATGATCCATCCGCCAGATGCTTAGTGTGCGCTTTGGAACCTGGGTGCTGGTGCCGCTGCAGGGTGTGGCTGCAGGATGTCTGTCACGCTTTGCAGGTTGCAGCGTGTGCTTTGAAGCCTGCTGACTGGTGCCCCTGCAGGGTGCTGCAAGGCATGCCTCACTTAACAAAAATGTTGATGGGACTGTGGCCGCATAGGCAAAAGTTCCGTTTCCAACCTTCTAAAAGCAAACGGAAGTGTGACGGCGTAGGCAAAAACGTACATTGTGGCGTCGCTTTACACGGGCGTTGGGCCTGCGTAGGCACACCTTCACAGGGATGAGCCGCGTAGGCCCCCATTGTGGCCACGTAGGCATTGCGTAGACAGTGACGTAGGCAGCACAGGAGTATACGGGCCCAGACAACAAAAAAACACAGCTCAAGTAGAAATGATGGTAACCTCCCAAAAAGAGTAATCGGGATTTCTTTCAGCATGTTGAGAGAACCCCAAAATGCAGAGGACGATAACATTGTTTTTCCCACTTTAATGGCAATTTTTTGTTGTAGACCCCAGTTTGGACAAAACCATGTAGACAAACAAAAGGTCGCGGTCGCACCATCCTGTGTTGCTTCACCATGATTCCACGCGCTACTCACACCAAAAAATCGCGAGATCGCGGTCATCCCAATGATCCTGTCTTGTCATTCAATGTCTTGTCAACATTCCCATGTTGGTCGCTTCATATCCCCTGAAAATCCCAATTCACCATAAATTGGCTCGCCAGGATCACGTGGTCATCACATGGTCATCACATGGGAA